GAGGTCCCTTCCAACCCTGACAATTCTGTGAGTCTATGAAGTAACCCTGAAAAAACTCACTGCCAAATTCTTGGTATTGTTTTATTTCTTGCGGTGTTACTGTGAAAGATTCAGCAAATACTAGTAGAAATTGTTGAAGAAACCAATTTTTTTTCTTTTCACATATTTATGTATGCTGGTGGATACCCTCAGTTGTCGTAATAGTCTTGTGGTGAATCAGCACAGGAGTTGGGAGATCTGTCATCCAGACCTGTCTCAATTTTTGGAGCTTAACTTTACAGCTCCTACATCCAAGAATAGTCCCCGAACTTCTGGGCTTGCAGACGAGGCTGGAAAAGGCCTGCCCTTCCCTGTGCTGCGCATGTAGGTTGTGCCAAACTTAATGAAACGGGTATCAAACTCTGACCATTCAGAATTGGCAAGAAGGAATTGATTATGTGGCCCAGTGATTAAGACAAGTGAGAAGCGAATCCTGGCTTTTGGTTTCTGAGTGTGTTTGTGTATTTTTTTAAAATCTTGTAGTTTTCTGAATTGTCCCCCGAGTGAAAACTAGAAATGGATGCTAAAGCACGGATAGGAGTAGCCCAGTAATGGATTTTTGTGATTGTCAGGCCTCTGATTCCTTCTTCAGTATTGTAAATTGTCCTCACCCTTTGTAAATGCAAGTTTACAAAGCCTTAGTTTTCTCTATTTGTTTTTATTTACTGAAACTGTTGCTGTTTCATATCAGATTCTGAAATCTATTTGTCGTGTGTAATGCCAGAATTCCAATGCTACAGAAAAACAGTGATTTGTGCCAAATGTTTTTCTTACCTAGAGAATTCAGTACAGCACTTTATTTTCTTTCTTTTTCTTTTTTTTTTTCCCCTCTAGACACCTAGCTGTTGGGCTGAAGAAGGAGCAGAAAAGAGATCGCATCAGCGTTCAGCATCATGGGGAAGTGCTGATCAACTAAAAGAGGTGAGAAGTTTTGCACGGTGGAGCCTTTCAAGTTTTGATACACCTAAGACATTTTTTAATCCAGAAAGCTGCACCCCTTTCTCTCTCCTTTCTGAAACTGCTTTTACCTCCGTCGTAAGAATTGTTTCAGGAGCGGTTGTTACTTTATGCCTCTTGGATTTCCTCCTGCTGCACGGTGCTGGCTGTGAAGGAACGGCCAGAGTGAGAGCTGAGGAACCAGCTTATTACTTACTAATTTTTCTGTTCAGAATTACCTTAGCTAGATTTCTGTTCTTTAGTGTTGCTCTCCTGAAAGAGGCAAGAGTTAGCTAGTGTATTCTTGTTTAGAAATTTTGTTCGAGTTTTAGATAGAGTCGATAGAGAGGACATCACTTTGATAAATGAAAAAGGAGGCTGTGCGTTGATCAATAATATGATTACTTGAAATGTAACTTTTAACAGGATATTCAGACATGAGAAGAAGTGTGTAGGCTATCTGAGGAGATGATGTTACAGGCCGTATGTAGTCTTCTTCTGGGAAGCCATTGGTAGGAAGAATAGTTGTCAAAAGGAGTGATGTAAGTTTAATTACTTCTTGCGTTCCAGTGGTGACAGCAGCCTCATTTTTAAAGATGAGGACCTGGGCCAGAAAGAGGTCAGCCCAAAGAAGGTTGTCCCCGTCTCACTCAGTACCGCTTATGAGACCCATCATAGCTGATTTATTAGTACCTGGGCCTTCGGTTGCCTGGGTGACTCCACCTGCAGCTGTGAGGAAGTGCTCAGAATCACAGGTTTGTGTCCAGAAGTGAGACAGGGGAAGTTATGTGTCTGAAAAGTTTCGGCTTAAACATTCCCTCCCAGCACAAAGGAGTTGTAGCAAGGGCAGGAGTAGCATCTGTATTTCCAGAATAACGCTTGCTTGCTGTCAGTGAGAGACCTTCCTTCATCTTCTGGTGGTTCGCTATCGAGTTTTGCAACAAGCAGATTTTCTTCACCACAGGGCTGTCACTCTCAGTGACAGTGACGCTTCGGCGTGTGAGCGGGTCTCTGCCATTTGATACGTGATCCGTGGTGCTAGGTTGCTCTCCTCTTTATGGACTGACCACGGGAGAAGGAGCAGAAACGTGGCCAGTGCGTTTTGTGGCTCCTTTCCGAAAGAACACAGTAATGGGAAAAACGGGGTGTGGATGGGAAATGTATCTATCCAAATTTTGCTGTGGTTACTCACCCCAAAACCTGCCTTTCTCTGACTTAGAGTTCTTCCCTTTCTCTGTTTTCCTTTCTCCAGCTTCTCAAATGAGTTTTCTCGCCTTTTCTAGTTCCCTGGGTTCATAGTCCCGCTGTCATTCTGCATGCGTTATCCAGCCAATTCTCGTCTGTCTTCCCTTACTTGAGCTCTTATTCAGTTACCTTCCAGCTCCTTGTCTGTTCTGTCTCTCCATTGTCTGGCTTCTGTTTTTTCCCTTTCTTTTTCCTTTCCATCAACTCCCAAGTCCTGCTTCCAGCCTCTCTGTCTGGCTACTTACTGCCTGTGTGGTAAAAGAGTTTGTTCAGTACCGACGGTATCTGTGCACTCAGTTTCTTTGTGCCTCAGTAATCTGCAGTTTCTGGAAGGAGAAATGCTCTGGGGCAGTTCTGTTCAAACTGACAAATGTAGCTGCCAGTTTCAAACGTCTTCCTTGAGCAAGCGCAAACTGAAATTTTTGCTAGAACTTTACCAAATGTAAAGACTTTTCCAAGGAAATACGCGGACGTATGCCTTGCATAAAGGAGCCCCAGACAAACGTTTGGCTTTTTCTTCCAAAGGATTGGACAACAGAACTTCCCAAGTAAAAAGCTACGATAATGCGTTTAAGAAGATGAAATGGTAAAATTATTTCCGCCTTTTACTCTCATCCTTAAAACAGCTCTGATACTTGTACTGAAATCTCTGATGGGAAGGGAATAGGGTTGCTCAATGTTGCGCGGTGGACTTCAAAGAAAATTTGACAAATGTATAGGCAGCTGAAAGCAAGAGCTTAAGTAATGGAAATAAAAGTATCACCTTTCCTGGGCAACTGCGTTTGTTGTGAGTAACGTCGGTAACGGTAGTTGTGCTCAGCATTTTGAATTGTTTCCCTTAGCGTTGGACAGCAAACAAGCAGATAGCTGTTTACAGCTCCCTCGTTTTTATTTAGCAGTTTGGATTCGTGTTTTCTTATTCCAACAGTTAATAGAATGATGTCTGGCATATATTTTTATGATGTGGATATGCTGTAAACTAGCCACATACTTGTATGTATAGTTTTAATTGGTTTTGATAAAAGAGGATTGAATGTGCTTTTAAGTTTAAAAAACAATTTGTTTTTTCCTTGCTTAGTTTGAGAACTGTTACAGTTAAATGTATTTATTTAACACAGCTAGGAACTCTTTCTTTAAAAGGTTTGCATAAAAAAAACCCCCAAACCAAACACTAAAAATGAATATATAGACTTAAGATTCAAAGCAAGCAAATTAATTCTGTATTACCACACACAAAAAAAATTTGCTTTGAATAGTTGAAAAATATTTTGTCCTTGAATAGAAATAGGTGAGTGCCAGGATTGAATCTGTCCAGCAATGAAATAGGCAATGCTTGCTTTCTTGTCTGTGAAAAAATTTAAAATTCCCCAGCTCTCAATATGATCTTTGTAATGATAGTGCACCTTTTTTTATCACCTCCTAACAAAAGTTACCTTTTTTAAAAAAAAAGAAAAAAAATAATCTGAAGGAGTCTACTGCTTGGTTTTGCAAAGTCTTGAATATAACTTGTTGTAAGATAATGCCAGACTGCTTTAACATTATTTTAACAGATAAGCATCTTGACTGGGAGATAAAGATTGTTATTAGTCTTTACACTGGACACGAACCAACCGGTGGTTTGAACCACGGGTATTTTTTCCCCTTTCAACCTGAATAGTTGAAATTCTGTTGGAGATGAATAGGGCCAATTTTTGAGTTAGAGCTTACCCTGAACTGGAATTTACCCAGAACTGGAAAACCCCGGGATTTAAACCGAATAGTTTTCAGTTTATGCAGGCTTTGAAAGACACGAGGATTTGAGACGGCTGATTTTTAACTTCCCTGAAGCCCGTCGGTGTGCTGTGCCTGTGACACTGACACCGGCCACCCCCCCTTGGAAGGTCCCTTTTGCTCGAACCGAGTACTTGAAAAGGACTTTGGAATGAAAGAGAATCCAGTGTGAGAGCTTGCACTTTCTCTGTGCTTTCCTGTACCAATCGAAAGATTGTATTCAAAGGTTTTAGGGGGAATTTCTAGTGCTCGTTCTGCTCTTTGACCTACTGGTTAACTTGTTGATTAACAAATGGTTTGCGAAGGAGTTGGAGCTCGCTCTCGGTAACGAGGAGTTTGGGGCGTGTTCAGGAAGTTCCCCTGTTGTGTAGACACATTTGTAGAGATACAACCTGGTAAGTATTAAAGAGTATTTGGGAGAGGGATGGTGACGTGTTCCTTCATATTACTAGTCCCCATCTAGGTCCTTACACATGAAAAATACTCAGATTATTCCCGTTCGGTCCCCATGTGTTGCCCGATCTAGTCGAGAGGTGGCGTCCCTGGCGGCAGGGAGGCTGGATTAAATGATCTCTAAGGTCCCTTCCAGCTTAGGCCATTCTATGAAATTATTGCATTTTTTTAAAGAACTGACCTAATTTGCTTATTTCTCAGGCTTCTGCCACTAGTCATATTAGGCTGCGTGCACATTACAAGTGGTATAGACAAGATCCCTGTTTATTTCAAGTCCACTTCTAGCTGTTATAATATTAGCAAGCAGAAAACATGTCTATAGGGATTTTTTTTTTCCAAACTTGTTGTTTGTTTAATAGTCTTTGATGGTCATCTCGTAGTTGGCCGTATGACATAAACCATGAAGGCCAAACTGCAAGTTTATGTCCTGAATGACCTGATGTAGAGTTATTACTGTTGTGATGCGCTGATCTTTCAGTTTTTTGGGGATTTTTTTTGTTAGTGTTTATGTTTGTATAAATAAAAAAGGTCTTTCTGATGCATCAGCAATATTGCAGGGAACAGTCACGGGAAGAGG